CATCTGCACGTAATCGTTTTCTTCACCGTATGGCCTGTTACCAGGAGCTGTAGGTCTCCATGAATATTATCTACGTTGGTGAACGAGGGCATTTGTTATGGATGCCCTCCTCCTCCCATCTTATCGACCAGATGCCCAGGTCTCTTAATATATCAGTTAGAGAAATTACTTTCCCTCACCCCATCGTAACAGCCTCTATTTGCGACTTCAGCTTGCCTTGCGTCCATCCTGGAGAAGGTGTCAGCTTGGCAGCACTCGTTTCCACCTCGGATTTCCCATGTCACTATGACGTCTTAGACCATCGAACTTATTTTCTTTCTTATTTTGCATTTGTTAGGATATAATCGAGAAATGGGTGTTCAGGAATTGATGGATATTCACTGGCTTAAAAAGTATGAAATATACGATTTCATATTAACTTTCTAGATCCTCTTTCTGTAAACTACTCAAGTTCCAGGTGAATAAATAAGCTTTTTAAACATCGGGAAATTATTATTTCTAAGAAAATCACAATCACACCCTTTGCTACAAACTATAACACATTCATAAAAAAATAACGCTATGTTTATTTCGATTAGTTGCCAAATGTACAAAAGTTGGACCCAGCAAGTGTACTGAAATATAATTCCGCAACTGTACATATATATATATATATATATATATATATATATATATATATATATGTGTGTTGTGTGTGTGTGTGGTGTGTGTGTGTGTGTGTGTGTGTGTGTGTGTGTGTGTGTGTGTGTGTATATTTACACGTTCTAGCCTCAGTTGCAGTAGGCCGCGCCGGCCGTCTTCTCCAAGATCCAGTCCAGGTACGACGTGACGCGCGTGTAGGCGCCGGGGACGCCCGCTTCGCCGCAGCCTTCGCCGAAGGACGTGATGCCCACAATGACGTGTCGGTTCTTCCCCTCCGGCACCGTCATCGGGCCCCCGGAGTCGCCGGTGCACGTGTCCTTCCCGCCCTTCTTGGTGGCGGCGCAGAGCATGTCGGGCGTCGGCCGCACGTTCCCGATGGTCTTGCCGTCGCAGTCGGGCCCCAGAATGGCCAGCCGCGTCTCCTGCAGGCGGTCAGACAACATGAAGTCGGATGTGTTGGTGACGCCCCAGCCGTACACGTAGCCCCAGCGGCCCTCGTAGCTTTCGGCGGCGTCCGTCGGGAGGCACGCGGGCCTCAGGGTATCATGGAACACCAAGGGCTCCTGCAGACGAATGAGCGCCAGATCGTAGTAGATGTCAGAGTTGTTGTAAAGCTCGTGGACGATGAGCTCGCTGACGGGCACCTGAGGGGCGTCATCGATGAGCTGGTTGTGGTCGCTGAGGCCGAGCTTCACCTCCTCGGGCCGCAGCTGCTGGCCGGTGTAGCCGTCGAAGAGGCAGTGGGCGGCGGTGAGCACGAACAGGTCGTTGATGACGGTCGCGCCACAAAGGTAAGACGGCAGCAGGTGTGGCACCAGCACGCCCGCCATCCAGGGGTACTTGTGGGCGGGTACAACCTCCGCTCCGCCCAGAATGCGAACCTTGTTGGTTACTCCACACGAACAGCTCTTCTCTGAGGGGATCAATCGATTAATGCACATCACACACGTTTCAAAACAGTGGAAGAATAATGAATGATGCGCACATACATATTTACCAGGGAATATTTATTTAAACATAAGAAATTGGTAATAAAAAGTAGTAATTGTAGAATTTGCAGTAGTGGTAGTAGTAATGATCAAATACGAATTATTTGAGCTCTCACTCTAATTTGTAGAAGTACCATTGAAATGAAGATGAATTAATTACAGTAGTAATTACTCAGCTCAAAATGGTGGTGTTCATTTTAAAAGTAGTGTTGGTAACCACGGAAGAAATGCAACGGCAGTGGTAGTTGTTGAAGAAGAAGGGGTGGTAGTTGTGGTAGCAGCAGCAACAGTAGTAGTAGTTGTTGTTATAGCAGTTGTAGTAGTATTCACAGTAACAGAAATATCACCAAGAACGTACTAGCAATGCAACACATGCATTTCTTGCCTTCACAGCCATCCTTCTCCACCTCGCCTGAACTGCATAATTTCCTCTTCTTCTTGAAACAGAAGCCGCCTCTAAACCTGCACTTGGGACTACTGTTGCACTTGGGGTTATCTGTAAATGACACATTCAGTACATAGGGTTTATTAGAACCTTCAACGAAATCTTTCTAATACCCGAGTTTGCTCTATGACATGTGGGAAGGTTTAATCTGTCTCTTAATCCTTTTATTGTATGTTTATATATTTTTTTTCCTTCTTCTTCTTCTTCTTTCTCTCTTTCTTCTGAAAATCACCCTTCAAAACAGAACAAACAGCCCCTATTACTGTACCTCCGAGACAACAGGAGCAAGACCTTCCCTTACACAGGTCCCTGGCAGAGACCGTGTCGCAAGGGGCTTTCCTGGGGATGCATTCGCCGCCCTGCTTCTTGCATTTGGCCGGAGTCTTTTTGCAGGTTCGTTTTTTCCGCTCTTGGAAGCCGCTCTGACCTGGAAGGAATTCATTTCTTGTGGCAAATCGTGGCTTTGTGTGCGTATGGATATGTACATATATACTTGTATATATATATACATTTACATGTAAATACATACGCACACACACACTCACATATCTATTTATGCGTGTGTAACATATAATATATATAATATATATATTATATATATATATATATATTATATATATAATATATATATATGTATGTATGTATATGTATATGTATATAATATATATAATATATATATATATGTATAATACTATATACATATACATATATACATACATACATACATACATACATACACACACACACACATGCACACACACAACACACACACACACACACACACACACACACACACACACACACACACACACACACACACACACACACACACACACACACACAACACATACACACACAATACACACAAATACACACACATATAGAATATATATACATATGTGTATATTATATATATTTATATATTATCATAATATATATTATACTATATATACATAATATATACCATATATATACATACAATATCATAAATATGTACATATGTGTACATATGTATGTGTGTGGGTGTGTGTCCTGTGCGTCCGCTCGTGTTATAGAAAAAAATGAAAAAAAAAAAATTCAAAACGTTTTTAGCTAGCGTATTTCCTTCTGCTTGCGGCAGCAGCTTTCTCTGACAATGATGCGCAGTTTCGCTCTTTGCCCTAAATACTGTAAGACTTGTTTTTCCCATGAAATAACCTTCCGCCTTCGGGGCTGTGGAATTGGCTTCGGCTTCGTTAGACGTACTTGACCATTTGCTTTGCCACAACTAACTGAAGCCTGGCGTAGGGAATCGAACACTGGCCTTTACACCGAGCTCACAGGAACATCGGAAATATTTTAAAGATGGGAATTAAGCAGTCAGCACAAGATGCTTATCTTTACTACTTGTTTTACGGTTATTATTATACCCATTTACACAGAAATTTGTAGGAAAAGTAATAAAAATAAATGGCTGTTTAATCTAAGCAAAAGGGTGATAAAAGCTTGAGCCGTACTGCAAAACCACGAGAAAAAAAATACACAGAATTTTCCAAAAATACAACAAACTACCGCTGCGTAACATATAATTTGATCTGCAAAATTTACTAACACTATTTCTAAGGCTAAAATAAGCATAAAAGAGTATTTCAACTTCCTTGCTAAAATTTAGTGGCCTACATATACCCACATGCATGGCGACACATCGGGAAAATTCGTTCATTATGTTGCACTGCGAACGATATTTTTCGAACGTTTTAAAAAGGAACAGGATATTAGAATAGAGAAACAGTAGCCAGTTTGTCTTGTGGAAAGAACACTATTGTTAACTGTTAAAAGATATTTGCTATAGGAGGTAACAGTAAGAGCTAATGAATTATTATAAAAAAAAGAATGTAATAATGATAATAATAAAGATAAGGATGATCAGAATAAGAATATTAGTAAAAAAACAACAAAATAATAATGATGATGTCAGCAATAAAACGAAAACAACTTACAATATATATCACAAGAACAATATGATGATAATAATAACCACGGTAATGATTTTAATGAAAAAATATAACAATCATGAGGATGACTATGATAAATATTATAACAGTGATGATATGATATAATGAAAATTATAACTGATGATAATCATAGTAATGAAAAACATTAGTGATTTTAATAATAACAACAACAATAACATTTACCATCACTGGTGTTGACCCCATTACAATGGTAACGATAACAAGAACATCCAAAATAATAATACGGATAATAATAAAATAATAACAGTACAGTGAAGATAAAAAAAAAATAATTGTAGTCAGAGAAGCAGAAAAAATGAGAGTAATAAAAATAATACCAATAATACACACAGAAAGTAGAACAAACAAATGTACAAAACGAATTCGGGAGAAATCATCATAATAACAAATAACTTGATAACAATAACAACGAAACATTTAGGAAACAGAATAGCGAAAAATGAATAAAACGAATTTACAAGAAATAATAATAACAAAAGAAATANCAACAGATACGAATATTAACCATAATGGCAATAATAACAATAACAATAGGCGGACAAACAATAATAATGATGATGATGATGATTGTGATGATGATGATGATGATGATGATGATGATGATGATGATGATGATGATGATAATAATAATATCAATAATAATGGCACCACCAATGACATAAAAAAAACAACCAAGACAATGAATACCATCAATAATAAAAAACAAGAACAATACTTAAAAGAATAATTAAAATAATAAAAAAAAATATGGGAAAACAACAGCAAAAAAAACATAAAAAATATAAAAACAATACATATAAAATATATAAATATACAAAATAGACTACACATAACATACAAACAATAAACAAAAAAAACAATAAAAACAAAAACCCAGAGAACAAAACAAAACACAAAATAAACACTGAAAAAAAAGAAGGAAAAAAACCCGGTGATGCAACCTCGATTTTCACGGTGGAAATAACACGCTGATAACTGTACCTCAGAGCTAGATGCTAGGCGAGACGAACAGATCTTTTGTAATATGAGAGAGAAAGAAGAAAGGCAGAGAGGAGGGAGAGGAGAGAGGAGGAGGAGGGAGAGGGAGAGAGGAGAGGGAGAGAGAGAGGAAGAGAGAGCGAGAGGGAAGGGAGAGGGGAAGAGGGAGAGGAGAGGGAGAGGAGAGTGAGGGAGTGCAGCATGGAGGAGGTGAGAGTGAGAGTGAGAGTGAGAGTGAGAGAGTGAGAGAGAGACAGAGAGAAGAGAGAGAGAGAGAAGAGAGAGAGAGCCGAGAGAGAGAGAAGAAGAGAGGGGAGAGAGAGAGAGGAGAAGAAGGAGAGAGAGAGAAAGAGAGAGAGGGAGAGGAGAGAGAGGGAGAGGGAGAGGGAGAGGGAGAGGAGAGGGAGAGGGAGGGAGGGAAGGGATGAGAGGTGAGAGGAGAGAGTGAGAGAGAGAGAGGGAGAAGAGAGAGAGAGAGAGAGAGAGAGAGAGAGAGAGAGAGAGAGAGAGAGGAGAGAGGAGGACGAGAAAGAGAAGAGAGAGAAGAAGATGGAGAGAGAGATAGATGGGATAGGGAAGAAGCTGAGAGAGAGCAGAAGAAAGAGAGAAGAGAGAAGGAAGAGAGAGAAGAGAAAGATGAGAAGAGAGAAGAGAGAGAGAGAGAGAGAGAGAAAGGAGAAAGGAGAGAGAAGAAAGGAGAAAGAAGAAAGAAGAAAGAAGAAAGAAGAGAGAGGAGAGAGGGGGCGTGTCTTATCTAAGTGCGCCTTATCCAGGTGCGTTTTAACCAAGTGCGTGTCTTATCCAGGTGCGTGTCTGCGAGTGCGTGCTCACTGACTCCTAAAGGATTGTAAAGTGCGTCTGGGATGGTTGTTACTTAATAACCTTAAGTAACAACATCGACCTGGATAGAGATGTATTGTTCCTGAGAGTCTAAGACAACTGTTTCTTCTCGTGTGAGTGTGAGTGTGGTTGTGTGTGTGTGTGTGTGTGTGTGTGTGTGTGTGTGTGTGTGTGTGTGTGTGTGTGTGTGTGTGTGTGTGTGTGTGTGTGTTGTGTGTGGGTGTGAGTGTGTGAGTGTGAGTGTGTGTGGTGTGGAGTGTGTGTGTTGGCGTGTGCGTGTGCTGTGTGTGTGTGTGTGAGTGTGTGTGAGTGGAGTGTGATGTGGTGTGAGTGTGAGTGTGAGTGTGAGTGTGTGTGATGTGTGTGTGTGTGTGTGTGTGCGTGTGTGTGTGTGTGTGTGTGTGTGTGTGTGGTGTGTGGTGTGTGTGTGTGTGTGTGTGTGTGTGTGGTGTGTGTGTGTGTGTGTGTGTGTGTGTGTTATCTGACTCTATGCCCGTCTCTGCCAGCCTGTTTCTCTCTGTCTCACCCTACTCCCAATCCCTCTTACTCCCTCTCTCACTCCCTCTCCCTCTCCTTCCCACTCCTGTTCCAACTCCCTCTCCCACTCCTACTCCCATTCGAATCCGCTTCTCCCCTAAAAAGGAGACAAAATACGTATCCGAAGTCCGGCTTGACATCCGGACGAGCGGCGGCGGTTAAACTCCCGCCAACGTATCGTTTTCGAAAATACTCGCGGGTTTGTTTACATCTTTTTTTTTGTGTTTTTTTTTTTTGAATCGTGGCTTTTGTACACATCTTGATTTTTGTTCGTTATTTTTATTCTTGGGGTTATATACATATCATGATTTTTCTTATTTTTCTCTTTTGATTCGTGCTTTGTTTACATCTTTTTTTTTTTTTTTTTTGGTATTCGTGGGTTTTGTACACATCATGATACTTTTTCCTTATATTTTTATTCGTGGGATTATATACATATCTTGATTTTTGTTCGTTTTTTTCTTTTGATTCGTGGTTTGTTTACATTTTTTTTATTCGTGGGTTTTGTACACATGTTCGTTATTTTTATTCTTGGGGTTATGTACATATCTTGATTTTTCTTATTTTTCTCTTTTGATTCGTGGTTTGTTTACATTTATTTTTTTATTTTTTTGATTCGTCGTTTTTTTTTTTTTTTTTACATATTTTGATACTTTTTCCTTCTTTTTGAATTTGGATTCGTGGGTTTATATGCAATTTTTTTCTGTGATTCGTGGGATTATATACATATCTTGATTTTGTTTTCTTTTTCATTCGAAAGGTTTATATGCATATTTTTTACTATTTTTTATTCGTTTTTTTCGTAGGTTTATATGCATATTTTTTACTTTATTTTTTATTTTTATTATTATCTTTTTTTCTTTTTTTGATTCGTGGGTTTATATGGATATCTTGATGTTTTTTTCTTCTTTTGATTACGCTAATTTTGATTTTTATGCGACTCGTGGGTTTGTTTACATATCCCCATTTTCTTTCTTTTTTACTTATTTCACGTGTTTATATATATATCCCGATTTTTTTTTTTTTTATTGGTTGGTTCCTTACATATCCTATT